TATTTCTAGTTATAATTTAGAATTCATTATATTAAAGAAGAGAGTAAGTAATCGTTTCAACAAATGACCCAATATTGAATTTAAATTCACCTATCTAAAGAAAAACTAAAACACAATATTTTATTCATACAATCAATGATTAAATGTAAGATTCTAGATTCTTGACCTAGAGAAATTATCGGGTATTAGAACAATGATTAAAATGCAAGCATGCCTATTACGATATTTTTTTTATCATGGTGTATAACTGCAGAGGCACTTAAATGTTCTATGTTAGTGAAATAGCTGAATCAATTATAACATATTCATGCTATGTAATACTATGCAATAATTAAAATCTGTTTTGAAACAGTTTTAATGATATGAATATGCTTATGATATAGCATTCAGGAAAATTTCTAAAATGCAGCACTTGGAATTATACAGATTTTACAATTTCAATCACATACGACATACATCCCACCCAGAAACACACAAATAGAAACATACATATAAAAACATGTCTAGAACCTAACACATTAAAACAGTTCTGTAAAATATCTGAATTATAGAATACTTTCCATTTGTCTTTATTTACTGCATTTTCTTACTGAAGCTGAATTGTATATTCATCATTATTTCCTAAATTTTCTTAATTTAGCCTAGGCATATGTAGGTTTGTACCTATGCATATATATGCACATACCTTTAATGGGTAAGTTGATCAAATATTGAATGAATTTATTAAATCATAGCATCAAAAATTCCAAATTTGATTATGCAAGAAAAATACAGGAAGAAATGTAAACATACAGGAAGAAATACGAAATACTTTTCAAGTATTTAAATAATATTGTTTTAAAAACTAGTTTACACCAAAATAATGATACCATACTTCATTAATAAAATTTTAATAAATTGGAGATTCAAAAATTGATTTCAAAGCCTAAGCAAAACCTCCCTAGGAAACAAATTAAAGGAGCAACACTCCTGGTCAATAATTGAGATTAATGAAGCAACAAATACAGAGAAGAATACTTGTCCACTCCCAGCAGCAAGCTGGATGCGTTCCTTTACATTCTTCTCACTGAGGGAAATAACAAAAACTAGCTCTTACATATTATTTCCTATGAGCCAGGCACTAGTCTAAAATTCATATTTTACAAATATGAATTAGTTTACACCACAGGGCAACCGTGGAATAAACTGTCACAGCCATTACTTTCTTGGAAAGTAGTAAAACCAAGGCATGGAAAATGTAAGTAAATTGCCAAAGAAATTTCTCTGAAGCCTGGCTTTGGATTCTCATTCACACTTGCTCAAGAACTAAGTGGTCTCAAGACAAAATAGTACTGTGAGGTATGTAGGAAAACAAATGAATGAGAGTTGATTTTCTGCTAAATTTTTACTTTAGAGGCATTTTAATCAGTTACTATCCATTTCTTTTATTTTCAATTAATTCATTTTGTTTGTGAAGAAAAAAAATGTTTTAAAGATATTTTCATTTAGTAACTACAGTAATACTAGTAATACTAATAATGCATGCACTAGACTACCTGACTGCTCCATGTTAGTATATTATTGCTGTTCTTACTATTGCCTTCAAACAGCCTTGGAGGTGCCTCATCACATCTCCCTGCAAGCCATCTGCAGTGTGGAATGTTGATGCCTCATAACCTCCAGCTTCTAGTCTTTTGGATCCATGAAAGAGCTTATTAGCAATGGGCTGAAAGTTGATGTCCCCACCCCCAATTCCATATGTTGAAATCCTAACTTCACAGTGATGGTAATCTGAGGTGGGTTTTAAGGGAGATAATTAGGTTACGAGGGTGGAGCCCTCATGAATGAGATCAGTAGCCTTATAAAAGAGACCCAAAGACATCTCTTCATCATGTGAAGTTATTCTGTCTTCTTAGACAGCCATCTAGGGGAAGTGGGCTATCACCAGACAGATATCTGCTAACACCTTGATCTGAATCTTCTCCAGAACTCTGAGAAATGAATTTCTGTTGTTTATAAGCCACCCAGTCTAATGCCATTCTGATATAGCCTCCTGAATGGACTAAGTCAAGCTCAGTCTATGCTTTGTCAGACTTTTCCACTCAGTGGCTAATTACAGTAAGGCACGAGAACCTTCCTGCCAAATTTAAGATTCCACCAATGGGCAAACATTTCTTTGCCCTGATAGGCACTTCCCATTAGTCTGGTCAAAATTTGGGATTTTGGTAGGATGCACTGAATGAAGCCTTTCCTAACCAATCATTCCTTTTCTCTTTGCCCAGGAGTCAGAGGGCCACTGTAGCAGAAGTCTCCCAGCATGCTCTGCTCTTCCTCTTTCATCCTTCATACATATTTTTCTCCTAAAATCTTTTGGCATTTTCTTTTTGGAGGATATAAGATGACACAAATTTTATGAAGTGGGTCTTAAAGCAAATACACAAAGAAGCTAAATGACAGATAGATCAAGGAACTTAACAGCCATGAAGCCAAGAGACTGAGATTGATCTGAGGCAGTCAGTCTGAGAACTCCTTTTCTTAAAATGTACTCTAATGAACCAAGAAATAAAATAATATTTTTTTTCTTCCTCTTCACTGTTTATTTTGCACTCTCCTTTTAACCCCTACCCTCAACTCTCCACAGACCCTTGATCTAGAATGGCAAATCTTGTTCCTTGTTACTCAGCCACAAGGCTGTGAGAAGCAGTTTTCCCTCCTGCCCTCCATCTCTCTCTTATTATTATCTAGCATTTGTTTTGTCTGCCTAGTGAGAAGGGAAACAAATTGTAACTGAAAACAACTTTCTTTCCTTATTTTGTATATGTTGTGCTTTTATAGTGTGTACAAATGTGTTTCTTGTGTTTGATGCACACATGAACAAAATAATGATGAGAAAGTTAGCAAAATCCTTAATTATGATATCAGACAAATGTCATATCAAAGCTCTGAATTTTCTCAGGCAAGTCACTTTTTTGTTCTATTTCTCATCTGTTTACTTCTAAAGTGAGTTTTTACCAAATCATACCTAAGGTTCCTATAAATAAATTTTTATTTGATTTCTACCCAACCATGGCCAATTGACACTTTATTAAACTTATGAACTTGAATATATTTTTAAAAGCATAAGGATGGTTATTTTTAAAAAGGCAAGGCTCCAATCAGAAATTAAAAAAAAGTTTGCATTTGCAATTCGCACACTTAGCAGCTGTTATTTGGTAAAATGCCACCAGGGAACTTCAGCTGAGGCACACGGAACACAACATGCCCCAGCACGAGCCATGCAGCGCCTCTGGGATTACCCGAGCTGGGGCCCGATAGGCTCCCCGAGGACACCCACTGGAACTGCTGGACCCCCACCTCCTGGGAGACCCCAGCACGCGTTGCGCTCTCCGTGGCTGCTCCTCCTGCCGATGCACCTGCCTGCCGAGGTTGCACTGTTTCCCTATAAAGCCTGATTTACAGATACATCTTCCTGTTGTATCACATTGAGGTGACACAGAGCCCATGGGATTGCAGTCACAGGGCACACAGACTTGCTTCTCTGGATCCCACCACATACTGGCCTTTAATTGCCAACAGAAAAATAAAATGAAACAAAATAAGAACAACAAAAAAGCATATGGTATTATTCAAGAGACAGTAGCAGATTATATTTTCCAACTTCTTGCAGAAAGGTCAGTTAGACATCTGAGAAGTTTTGGCTTCTGTTTAATAGTCTTTATCACCAATAAAATGTATTTAAGTAAAAGAGGTAGTGCAAATCCTTCCACTCTCATGAATGAATCTCAAGGCACTCACCCGGCTGAAGGCAGGCAACTGATATGTTCAGAAATTGAGATCAACATATTGAAAGTGAAAATTTCATTTTAGCACAATGATATCTGTAAACATTATATAAATTAGCTTTTCTTTTGAAACTTTTGCTAAGTAGAGTGCTCACTGGAGTTAGCTTTTAAACGAGAACTAGAAGAAGGTACTTGCTAAGCAAAAGGAGCAACACATTTTTTTTTCTGCCAAAAATGTAAAGAGTAGTTTACTTTCCAAAAGATCAGGATTATATTCATGATGGCTATTTCAGAAACATTTGCATTATAGGAAGTATACAAATTATCTGCCAAAGAAATGTCATTTGCAGGTCAATTGCAACATACAACAAGTTTTTGCTATATTTGAGCAAATATTTTCCTGATCATAGTAATTCTATCTGTGGAATTAGATAATCCTGAACCATTTTGTGAATACATTAAGGTGTCTAAAACATGATATTGAAAGCCAGTGAAAATTTTCAAGAAAGTAATTCACTGATGAGCTCCTCCTTACCTTACATTCATCACACCGGCGTCCCTGCACATTGGGTCTGCAATCACACTGTCCTGTTCCAGGGTGGCAAATCTCTGAGAAGGAGCCATTGACATTACAACGACAGGCTGGAGAGAGAAAAGGCATCAGTAGCTGGAAAAAAAAATTCTAATACAGGTTGAATATGCTTTATATGAAGTGCCAGGGACCAGAAATATTTCAGAGTTTGAAGTTTTCTAAATTTGGGAATATAGTTGCATAAACTTTACTGGTTGAGTATCCTTAGTCGGAAAATCTGAAATCCAAAATGTTCCTAGTCTTAATGTGTTTGTTAAATAAAAATATAGCCCAGGTGGTAACACTGACACCTAAATTCAGTAATAGAATATTTCTGACTTACTAATTGCTCTCAAGAATTCTATCATTTTTATCCCTACAATAACTCTATCAGCTGTAGAGAGAATTTATATCAAGTCTTTGGTACAATTCTCCAGACATCATATGCTATTCAAACATTTATGTTGTCATTCAAGATATTCAAAGCCAGTTAGATATTGCTGGGTTCAGAACATTACTAAGACTTGCAGATCCCTGATTTCAGGTACAGTGCTGGGTAATTCCTTCATAGATACATTGGGTAACATTTAAAATATTATAATCCCATTGTAAGTCATATATACTGACTCTAAGGCCAAAATAATTCTTAAAAATTACTAAAATTGATTGCATTCATGTCATAATACTAATGTCATCATTAATCAAGTAATACTGAATTAATTATTTCAAAATAATGTTTATTTATTCTGTGTCAGTCTTTGTTTTAAGTACAAAAAATGAGTTTGAAATGATTATAAAAGTATATAAGATGAAAACATTGCTTCAAGTCTATTAGAAATAGAACACTGTAATTTTTTAAAATCACTTTAATATTACAATTTGTCTGTAAAGATGGAAAATATATTTGATTTCAATAATCTATTGTCATTTTTGTGTTATGAAGCTGTCTGATGTTATTCTGAAACATATAATAAATAAGTCTAAAACCTAAGTGGTATTCACAAAAATAGCTAATTAAAGGCTCCCTGTGTACTCTACAAATGCATGTGTCATGATGCATATAATGGCGTTGATAACAGAATGAAATTGTGTGGGGGCAGATGGGATGGGAATTAAGACTATTCCATATGTGGCTTTGGTAAATTTGGTACAATATCTGTTAAACATTACCTATTAACATGTTAAAATGGCTACTCTATCAGCCAATGCTATTATTATTCTCTTCACTTGGCTCCAGATTTCACTTTCCTTTACTGCTCTTCTAAAAATTGCTTGATTTTTTTTTCCAGAAAAGTTTAGTCTTCAGTATCTGCTAACTTGATTCTAGTATGTTGGACATTGGAATACTGGCCTACCCAGCAACCAGTCAAATTAGCTGGTTAATTTTCCTCAGGCAATAGCTTAAGGAACAGTTCATTCATATGGAGTTTAAAAAAGGGCTGGAGACAAATATTCTTTTTAAATATCCACATTCATTTGGATACCGATTTGTGGTGCACACTATCAATTTCTTTATATAAATTTCTTAAGTGTACTATACATAAATTTAAAAAAATCTTAAGTTATTTATAATATAGAAATCCTTTTTTTAAAAAGTAAGTACTACAAAATTAAATTTACATAAATATTCTGGTGATTAATGTCACCTTAAAAATAACAAAAACAATATAGAATTTTGTAAAAGGGGCATTTAATGGAAGAGTATAAACCAATCTAATATATAAATTCAAAAAGCAAAATATACTTCTTGGTAGTGGTCAACTTTTTATGAACAAATCCAGAAGCAACTTAAATAATGCTTTCTCATGAGCTTTCTTTTCTTGAGGGTTTACTATCATGTGTAGAGGAACTACTGTATAAAAAAAATTGTAAAATAGATAATAAATGGATTTTTACATTTTTAATCATAATTATATCCTGGAGGGCATTAAAAATCATAATCATATTTATACCTCATGGCAAGTAGTACAAAAATTGGAGATAGTTCAAATGTTGTTATTCCCACATTCTCCTCTGTTCTTAAAACTTTATGCCACAAATCATTAGTTTATCATGCTAAAATGATTGGAATAATATCTGCATCTTTACATAGGGATATTAGAAGACAGAGAAAGAAAGGCTGATAAATGACTAAAGTAATCTAGAATTAGTGAACCACTGATATTCATGACTACTACTTGCACTACTACCAGACAAGAGACCATGTGTGGGCATCTCCAGACCCCAAGGATTCCCTGGATGCTCTCTATGTGCTATGTATGTCCTTTAATTCCTGTAACTTATTGGAGGTGATGAAACTAAGTCTTATTGAGGTCAAATGTCTTCCTCAGCATCACAGAGCTAGAAAACATGGATCCCAGATGATTTGTTTGAACAGAAAAATTTCTTCAGTTCCTGATGATTTTACAAAAATACCTAAAAACCTATGATGTTAAAAGTCATTCTGAACCTGTTGGAAATTTTGCTTAAAATCATTTTATATATGATATTGACAGACAGTAGTTGTTCCAGAGTGATTAATTTTTGATTGAAAGCATTATCATACGTGTATGACACAAAGTTCACACTCATCTTCTCAATTTAGGTGAAGACACATTTTCTAGTGAAATGAGGAACCCTAGTGGGCCTTTAGTGCTTAAAGCAAAGATGATAACAAACTTCATTTTCTCTGGTTTCTGTAATTCTGCAAGCCCTGGGCCCTACCTGAATGATTACAGGAGTCTCTTGGCAGAAGTGAATGGTTGGGCTACTCTTAATATCCTGCTCCTCCTAAAGATTTTGACAGCGGATGAAGCTGACAATGGCTGCGTAAAGCACTCGAGTGCTAATGTGGACTCATAAACCCATTTGCCTTTCCACTGCTAGGTTCCCTTTGCATATTGTATTACCACTATTATAAAGCATTAGTAAATTCTGTGCCACACTTAATAATACAGCAAAGAAGGCAAAGATGGGGAGGGGGGTGAATTGTACTAAAATGGATGAAGCCATAGAGTAGCTACTTTTGTGAAGGAAAACACAGAAGTAATATCCTATGCATAGTCCTAAGATGAAAGTTAATCATTCAATAATTACAATGCCAGTGTGTGAAAACATTGGCAGAGTTTTACACCTATTAAAAAAATACAAGACTGTAAAGTTCACACAGGAAAGCACAACCAAATAACACCTATTGACAAGTAATGATGAAGGATCTGAGCCAAGAACTTTAGGTCAACAGCAAAAAAAATATATTAGAATTGAGATAAACAAAACAAAACAATAAAACATAACACCAAAAAAAAGTCCTACTAAATTTTCAAATTCTTCTTTCCTACTATGAATATGAGGTCATTTTAAAATAGAAACATGTGTATCATTTGAAAAAATAAAAAGGAATACCACTTCAACAATGCAGCAATTTTCAAAGGATTTTTGCTATTAGCACAAAGAAAGATAGATTCTGGAATATGCAGACTCTTGTCTATGCTGTGCATCTATCATCCATGTATTACAGATAATTTCCTAGTCTCCAATCCCCACTCAAGAACTCATCAGCTACTTTGAGGTATAATACATCAATTCTGTCAGGGGCATCAATAGTTCAGGACTTACGCTGACAGTTCTTTGCATCAACTGCGTCTCCAAAATATCCATCAGCACAGAGCTCACAGTACCGGCCTGTTGTACCTGGCTTACATATCAGACAGGAGCCAGACAAGCTGTCACAGCTGCCAGGGATGGAGAAGTCAAGGTTGTCATTGCATTGACATGGTTGACATGATCCTCCAGGTACAGAGGGTTGTCCAAAATAGCCTTCTGCACACCTAAGGTGAAAAATCGCATCTATGAGTATTTGGGGTAAACTCATGAAACACATCTTGGGGCAATGTTTACATATTTTTCATGCTACTACTCTCCCAGTATGATGGCTTTTCCTTTTCAGTGTTCCTTGTCTCAAATGCAAGGTGATTAAAAAATGTTTTTCTATAACCACAGTGTAGATACAATACGAAATCCTGCCAGACCCACTAGTAATTAGATTTCAGCCAGACAAAAACAAAACAAAACAAAATCTTGTCACTGGCACTGAAGACGAGACCAAAGCATAAGAAATCTGCTGCTGGCACTCTCAAAGAATCTAGGTCCATGTTGCAAAGCCTTTGTAATAGAACACATTATGTATCTCTACACCAATTGGTTGTTTTTTTGTACAAATATGCAAGGTTCACATTTTGTTGTTGTTGTTGTTCTTGCAGCAAGAGCTTGTTAGGAGAAAACAATTCACAAGAAATTTAGTAGCGAGAGTACAGAATTTCTTAAATAAAAACTGTGACTCATGAGATTTTTATTTTTATTTGGGTAGAGTGTGTCTCTGAATTAATAATGGATTTGTATGTAACTTAATGTAGATTTAGAGGTAGTTTATAAATGAAGAGTCTTTACTAAGGGGAAGACTAAGTAGGTATTCTTGCCAATTATGGCAATATGACATAACGTGATGCTCAACCGTGCCCATGACACAAATTAGCAAAATCCAGGTATTTTGTTTTAATCAACCAAGAACTATTTTTACATATTGTCATTATTTACAGAGCATTATAGAGGAGATTTTTTTTAAAAAAAACTATAATACCAAAATTTCCCTGATCTAAATGCTGTCTTATAATGTCACATCACCTTACGGACACACAGATACATCCTTACAGGCAATGCCTATTTATCTTCTGCTCTGTCATCTCTTTCAGTTACATTTTCCCACACTTCATATTAAGCCATACTTGACAAAGGAGAAATGAAACAGGGCATCCACAGTCTATGGGCAGGCCAGCTCTGTTACCTGCAGTATCTTATCAAAGTAGTCTTCTGCAGCAAGGGTCAGAATTGAAAATGAACAAAGAAAATAGAGTGTTTTTACCTCCATAGTATGCTATGTTATGCTCATCTACTCAGATGTGAAAGCCATTGTTTAGAGCAAGGCTCTCTGCCATTAGGAATAGAAATGGTTTAAATTCATTATGTCATATTAAGGACATATTAATAACACTGCAATTATGGGACACAGTCATTAATTTGGTACAGACATATTGATCAATGATTATTCTAAGTTTTCCAGAAAATGTATGGGGACCACAATATTCTTATGGATTTAATATTTTATCATAATTTTAAAAAATGAGAATAATAGTTTTAATTATCTTTACAAAATGGTTAATATGATTATGAATATTATATAAACATCTTAAAAGGCTACTGCTGCCCACAAATTCATATATTAATTCTCTATTACAAAATATGAAACAATATTTTAGTGCATAAAGTTCCCCCATAATCCCTTCAGGGGTATTCTTACCTTAGTTGATATTCAGAGCTTATGATCACATCTGCATATATTCACATCTCATTTTGTTTACTGCTAAGAGAGTGACTTTGCTCCACTTAGAATAAGGAAGTACAGTGATTATTATCACAGTCAACAAAGACCTATTATTTTCAGTTCACTTTCCTCAAAATAACTTACTGCCCTCAGGAGAGATGGCATTATATAACAAGATCTGGGAATTTCTCTTAACACAGATACCAATTAATAAGTACAAAATTCTCCTATAATAAAAGAAACTCAGCCCATAGAAGAAAAAAAAAAGCAACAAAACTGTGATTGAATAGAATAATGAAAGAAGCATCTGTCTTTTTCATTGCAGGACATGTAAGAAAAATTTGTGAATATACATATTAGAAAATTCATATGCTGCTTTATTGAAAGTGGGACCATTTTCTGCAGTACATTTGTGCTTTATTGCTGGTGTATGTGCATGTCCATTTTTATACATAGAATGGTCTTCAAAGAGACATATAAAATGTTCCATTTGGAGTGAACAAACAATGCTAGGATCAGAAAATACAATGCTACTAATCATATGCTTTTATTACCAATAATATCACTTTATAATCTGTTATATGATTTATCTAATAAAAATTAGTTAAAAATCACAGTCCTTTGACCCTTTTCATTTTCACAGATTATCACTCTAATAAAATTAATTGTAATTTGAAATCTTAAGCACTCTCACTTTCACAGATAAGGCAGAATGAGGGCATTTTTAAAGAAGGCAGTTTATTGGATTCCTTGTAAAAGATGAGCACCTTGTCATAGAGTCACTGCTCCATTCCACATTTGTTCACTTTTTCAAATCAAATTGAGCTATTTAAAACAGATACCCTTTAAAAGCAAATAAGATTCCAGAAAACACATGCAGTTATATAATAAGAGTTGCTGCTATTGATAATTTGGGAAGAATATTAGAGAGAGGAAAGGTTGGAGGGAGAGGGAGAGAGAATGAATGACAGAAGAGGAGAGGAACAATAACGAGAAAAGAAAGCAACAGGATGGAGGAGATGTTTTAAATCTCATTGCGTTCCATCATTTTCTCCAACAACTTTGGGTTAAAATCTGAGGCCTCTGGTCATACTATCTCTTCCTCAAAAAAAAAAAAAAAGCCACTGAGTATTTTTACATGATGCATATAAATAACATTCAGTCTTTAGTCCACAGAAAACAAATATTCCTTAAACAATCTGACAACAGAACAACCAGAGTTATGTTAGTACTATCACCAAAGCATAGAAAAGGTACAACCTACTCGGATTAGGATTTAACAAAGGCCTATTCAGAATGACAGAGCAGAATTTTAAGAGATGACCAGGGTTAGCCTCAAGCAGAGCAATGAGAGAACTACAGTGTTCTAGGGAGGAGGGACAGCATTGACAAAGGTACAGAAAAAGTGGCTGGAGTATAAAGGTGTGTGGCTATACTGCAAGACTGTGTTCTTACTACCTTGCACCTGCCAGTCAGCTAAAGACTGAGGGAATTTGCCTGCATATTCAAGGCCTTTCTGCAAATTACAAAAAGTGTAGAGAGAGTGGGTCCACACTTCTGCAGCTGAGCACAGCAAGAAGCTCTTCTTGCACTCAAGCCCTCATACTGGCTTCAAGCTCCCATTTGCCACTTCCCGGACTTTCTTTGGGCAGTGTGCAAACTGCTCAATCGCGCATGAACAGCCTCTTGGAAACATCAGCTGAAGCCACAGTTTTGTTTATGGCACTAGTAAGAAAGAATAAGCTCCTCTCTTCTGTTGTTTCTATTTAATGTCATCTTTGGCAGCGAGGACCCAACACTTACGGAGATTCAGACACAAGTAGAAAATGTTATCAGCATCATGATCAGAGGGAAACTGGACTTGATCCAGACATTTCTGAAGTAGAGAAGACCTAACTGGGATTTTGGAGTTATAGCTAAATAGCAAAATGGAACTTGATATCTAATATGAATCACGTGGATAAAATTACAGGTGAATTTTTAAAATATTAGGCAACCCGAGTCAAATGTCTTCTGCATTCTCAGAGGTAACTGCGAAAGCAGTCTTGATTTTTGGCCTCTGGCCTCACCTAGGGAGGATCTGCTAAGAAATTACACTGGGGAGGAGGCAGGGGTTATCCCAATAAGGGTTAAATATCCCATTAAGTACCAAGTTGTCCCATAGAATCTGCCAAGTGAACTTGCCACAGTCTTGGAACTGTCTTTCTCCATGATGCTTTCTAAATTGCTAGGGCTACAGACTTATTCTGAAAGTACCCTAATGTCTGGTAGGTCAGGTGTCATCTGTGATTAACTCAGCTTTTGTTTTATGTTTTTAAAAATTTCTCTTGATGCTCTAAGGCTAATTTCTAGATGCTGTCTCTGATTTTCTGGAGTTTTAGCCTTCCACTGTCCAGATGAAAGAAGCCTTGAATCTCAGCAAAGTGTCATAATGAATACCTTCTCCCCTAACTCCCTCTCTTCTTTCTCTTGTTAAACTAGTTCCCAGCAAAATAGTAACTCCTCAAGGTGCCTTGGCCCCAAGCAAATGTTTCATGCTTCCAAGCTGTGACTAGTGTCCTACATGTGAAACAATCATCAGTCAACATTTTGCTAAATCTACCTTTGCCATCCTCTTGCTCATGGTTTATTTTCTTTCCCTTGATTCAAGAAGCAAGAGCATGGTGCGCAATGCATCTAAATGAAAGGATTTGATAGGGAAGAAAGCAGAAACACAGAGAACTCCTAGACCTTGGATTCAAAAAGTTGGAATTTCTATGAATGTGGAACCTATACACCTTCCCCTCAAATAAGATGGCCTGAAAAGATAGATGAAGAAGTGATGATAGTAGCAATGTTGGTGTATCCCAGTGTGGAATGAAAGAAGCTGAATGATTTCTGTCTCCCCAAGAATGGGATAAAGTGAAGAGAATTGAATGACCTGAGAGGAAAGGTGATTCAGAGGACAAAAAAGGCAAAGGTTGGCAGAGACACATGGGGAGAATTAGGACAGGATGGCCCACAGCATGTCCCTTTGCCCAACACAGACATACCCACACTCACCTACTCACCACTCATGCACACCAGCCCCTTGGTACTTTGTCAACTAATTAGAACTTTGATTCAAGCTTGGTTGAGATCATGTGGAATCACATGTCTAAGTTCTCACCTATATAGATGAGATCTCAAAATAGAAACTGTATTGAAATAAACAATATCAACTGATAATTCTCATCCACCAGAGCTGTAGTCTGAGACACATTCATGCTATATAATAAAAGCAGAAATTTTTGGAAAGACTGAGCTAAACTAACTAAGTGATCAGATTTCTCTACTTCCCACCACAGGACATAGCACAAATTTTAACATGCTAATGGATACTTCCCAAACTTTTGTGATCACAGCATTCTTTAGTCTAGGAACAACTACAGTTTGGGAAACCCTGTTTTATTTCAAATGCTGATTTTTTTATGTAGCCGATACACATACAGTAATCATACACATCACTTACAGAATGGCTTTGAATACACAATTTTAATGCAACCAGTGACTCCTCTTTACTCTGACCTTTCTTTTCCCTCCTTTGCACTTCAACATACACAATTGCAAAATTATTCCTCTCATAATTTTGACCTATCAAATAGGATTTTGGCTCACATACATATACTGAAATGGTATACCCTAAATATTTCTGGAAAATGCTAATTCAAATTCTGCCTAGAAAAAGCAAATATCTCATCATCTGTATAAAAATAGTTGAAGATTATTTTTAGTTAAAAAACTTTAGTTGGAGCTGAGCTATATACCATTTGCTACACTGCATATGCATCTTGTAATCTTCCATTGAATCAGATTAATATAGATTTTAGGCAGAAAATTATGCTCTCTGTCAGTTACTTCTTTCCTGGGCGAATTTCATTATTCAGTTAGGTTTCTCTCCAGGATGCATGTGACCATTCTCATATGCATTAAAGAAAGATATGAGCTGCTTGAGGGCAAGGATGGCATAATGCATCTGTTTACCTCTGACATCCAGCCCTATGCTTAGTAAATGGCAGCTACTAAGCAGATATATGCAAAATTAAAGGTAGCATTTAAATTGTAGATGATTCGGAAACTATGATCTAACATGTATAGAAAACATAGTGTACGAAGCAAAGCAATATAAATACATCAGAGATTATGCTCACCTAGGTAAGCGAATTTAATGGCCTTGTATGAAAGAGCAGCTGTTGCTTTCTAGTTGCTAAAAAAGGTTGCCTGTAGTGAGCTGTGGGGGAGGCGGTGGGTGGTTAGGCTTTTGATGTAGATCTGTCTTGGCAGTGATTGCTTTCCTATTATAATAAGTAATATACACAAAGCTTCTTTTAAAGAAAAACACAATTAAAGACCTCTAGTTTCTCGATTACAAATATGTCCTCCTTATTTCAGTTCTCTTCTTCCATTACTAATTTACAGACGCTGCCATTCTTACAAATAGTACTTATTGCTCCTGGAAACTGTCACTGGTACTTTGTCCACAGATTGCTAGTTGCTAGCTAAATTCTCTCTGGGTGACTGGCTCCTGCTTCAATAATTTTATGCACCCTGGTTGGAATAGGACTGATGGCTGCCAAGAAGGCAGGAGAGGACAGGCCAAAATGGCCCTCTTTGGGGTTAGTTTTGGTGACAAAGATTGAAAGTAGGTCACATCCATTATGACCCTTTTCCCCCAATCCCTATGGCCTACTGATGAACTAGGCTGTTTGGATCTGTTTTCATTGCTAAGACCAGAGAGAATTTGTTCTATTTGGCAATAATATCAAGGGGGAAGTTTGTATCATTTTTATACTGCAACTGGAATAAAGAAAAGTCTCTTCAAATCATTTTGGGAAGTCTGAATGTTTTCTCCGATAAGTGGATGCTAATTCATAATGGGGCTGGGGTGGGGTGAGGAAGAATAAAACAACATTGGATTGTGCAGAGGGGAGTGAGGGGCGGGGATGGGGATGAGAAGGACAGTAGAATGAGACAAACATTATTATCCTATACACATGCATGATTACATTATTGGTGTGACTTTGCACCATGTACTGCCAGAAGAAGGAGAAGTTGTGCTCCATTGGTATATGATGTGTCAAAATGCATTCTATTGCTACGTATAATTAATTAGAACAAATTAAAAAAATAAATAAATCCAAAAAATAATTTTGGGAGAAAATATGATTATACAGATTATTCATAGTAATACCCATCGTTCCATTGCAAAGCAATCCAACAAAATCAATAGGAATTAAAATACTGGTATAGGATTAATTAGAAAGAATGTAAAAAAACATGATGATAAATTACATTTTGTTTCTATTTTCAAATATGTTTAAATTATGGACCACTTACTGAACTATGGACTATGGATTTAAGCCACATTTTAAGGACAAAAAGATAATTATGAAAAACAAAGGGTGCTGATGGTAGACAGTAAGATAAATCTTAAAGTGCATGACATTCCACTTGAGCAACACTTTCTAGAAAGATTGCAGGTCGATGATTAACCTTTAAGATTAAAACATTAATCAGATACTTTCTACATGAATAGATATTGGTAGAGCAATTTCTAGAGAATAAATAAAGTATAAAGAAATAATGCATTTGTTTGACAAGTGTGATAGGAAACTTTATTCCACCTCATCAAGTGTGGCAGCTTTTCTGGGGTAGAGCGAAGGATGATGATGCCTATGGCTTTGTAATTCCCAAGGTAGAAGTCATTCTGCAAGATGGGATGGTATGTGCTTACCTTTCACAGCGTGGTCCTGTGTACCCAACAGAACATGCATCACAGATCAGGCCAAGACTCTGGTCTAAATGGCAGGTCGGGCTAAAGCTATGTGATGTTGTTTTGGGGAACAACAGAGACAAGAAAGAAGCAATATACAAAATCATTAGTAACATATTTTCATTTCATTTCTCTTTCTCTACTACTGCTGTGAAAAAAAGGCCAAAAGCTGGTCATTCCTGTCTCACAGATAGAACTCAGGATCTGGCCAATTGAGGATGAAATGACATTGCTCTATGTGCAGACATGACTATAGCCCAGTGGAGAAGTAGTATCCCTGTGACCTATTATTAACTAACTTTTGACTGCTCTGGATCTGTGATTGCCAATAATAAGAGTTTGTGAACAGCTGCTTTGAGGGATTCCCTGGGCCTAGAAACACATTTCCTCACATCCTTTCTCTCCAGCCAAGTCCCTTGGAATCTGAAGCAGCACTGAGAAATCTTAGGGATTTTTGGAAAACTCAGCATGCAGGAGAGGTGGCAGTAGGGGTTCCTACCTTCAGGGCTGCTGCCTGGGGTGTATGTGCTAACTGCTGTAATGTATACTCACAGGCATACAGTCACACTGATGGCATCCTCAAGAATGCTTCCAGAAGCAATTAAGTGTGTATACTATACTTCAACTTACAATAAGACAAAACAAACTACAGCAACCTTGCCATTTTATACCTTTTAGCATGTTTCAAAATTTCTCTCTCTTTGAACATACTTACAATTTTGGTCTGAAATAACAGAGTTGGACACCATGTTAAGAACCAGCACAGCAATCTCATGTGAGCATTAGCCTTCAAAGAAACATGTTCAGCTTGGCTTACATTTATTTTTTTCTTGGAAAGAGACATCTCACCTGCATTCACGCTTACCCCAACATGGACACTATCCTGTAGATATCTGCTGCTCTCATAAGAGCCCTCTCATTAATTCTGCTGCTCTACCATTTAAAAAAATATTATTGAACTGGTACACAGAAACTGTACATAGTAATGGATAGCATGTAATTTTTTTTGTTATGCTGTGTAATGTTTAAATCAGATGAATCATGTCAATCATTTTTTTTACAGTGAAGACTTTCAAAGTCCTTTCTCCTAGGTTTTTGGAATGTGCATTACACTGTTGTTATCTATAGTCCAGAACCAGAATTGGTTGCCCCTGTCTAGCTGTAACTCATACCTGCCCCTCTACTCGCCCAGCCTCTGGTAACCACTATTCCATCCTCAACTTTTCTGTGATCAAGTTCTTCAGATTCATACTGTTCCATTATTTAAAAGGGAAATGCCCTGAATTAATCTTTCTTCCATTATGTTTTCTCTAAATAGGTTTATTTTCTATTGTATATGACATGACAATTCAGTACAGTCTTGCTTGATTGCTTGATGGCTAAGTGAATTAAAGTGAGAACAATAAACACTTCAAGTCCTGATCTCATTTGGCTCCTGACACTTGCATAGCTTTCTTAAATTTGATGGAGAGAAGATCATGGGTACTGTTTTTAAGTAATATGACTCTGACTTAATTCATTATGTTCCTGTAAAGATGAAATAATTCTTTTTTTTTTTTTTTTGGAAGTACCAAGCTACTGGCATCAATTTAGACATTTCACTTTGTGGAAAGCCCAAATGAATCTACTGGGTCAAGGGGGGAAAGCCTGAAAAGGGGAACATGAGTTTATATATAAATATTATCCAAACAAAATATCTCACATTAAGGGGTTCTGGTGGCTACCACGGGCAACCAGTCTGTTCTGTGAGAAGGGAATCTCCTTTGAAACTGGGGCCTGCATCTTGCCACACATTACCCCCAAAGGGATCACCCACACGATCTTAGCAGGAATGCAATTATACTGAAGAGGTACATGTCACTTGTTTATACCAAGGAGAAGCACATATGAAAGAAGAATAAAACAGGATTTTCCCCATCTTTACACAATGATTTGTTTTTGTTTGTAGGTATGAAAAAAAATGAACTGGAATTTTAAAAATCTCTGTAGTGTATATATTCTTTGAAAACTGGAATTCTTTAATTATCTTATCATGTATGGAGAAAGGGACTCTTAAAGCCCTGAGTTTGCCAATCCCGTGGGACTACAGTGATTGAAAGAAAAACTGTACCAATTATTTTTTAAAAAATCCTAAATCAGTTTACCGTGAGACATGTCAAAGGTGGTTGACAAGGCTTCTGACACTTTAAAACTATTTATAAAATAGATTTCAAATTCTTAAAATACTCACATGTCAGTTAAAGCCAACAGAAGTAAAGTAAAATGTACTCACTGACAAAAATCAATATTTTCTCAGTAAAAAAAATAAGCAATAACAATATATTAGATTTGACTTGCTCTTATAGTTCAGAGTCCTTTTACAAATAACTTTATCACATTTTCACAGAATCCTATGAGCTGTTTGGGGTAGGCATAATTTTTCTCTCCCAAGGTCATACTCTAATTTCTAGAAGAACTGAGCATGGGATCCAGGACTTCAGAATTTTAATTTGATATTCTCTTCTCCATGTAACAAACTGTCATTCAAACCTGCTGGTGAGAATTAAGTCATTTTAAGGTTTTAGTAATATAAATACTTTACATGATGCATGCAAATAAAATCCCCTCTTAAAATATACTCATGCTTTGAAATTCTTTAACAACATAAACTGAGGAGTAACTCCCTTGCTGTAATTTCAGTTACAGGAATGACAGAAGATGGCATTCAACAACAACATTAAAATTAGAATGAGAAATACACATGCACAACCAAAAATGCCTCCAGAATTTGGATTGGCAAATATAGTGATGTGACACTGATTTTGGCCAAAACATGAAGATAATTGTTCCATGACACAAAGAGGGAACTGTGGGATCATCATTGACTTAAATCGATTCCAAGATTATGTCACTTAACACTAATTGGCTAGCTGCACACCAGCAGAGAGAATGTTCTGCTTCCTGGATTTACCAGCCCATGGCACCAAAGACACAGGAGAGCCAAGAGCTGCAGGCACAGCTTCAACAAATGGGGAGGAAGGGCAGCTACTCTTGGAATAAATTGTAAGGATATGCACATGGATCTTTTAATAACAAACATAGATTTTCATGTGTTTCATAATGATCCATTTATAAAGATGAATATATGTGCATACATACATATGTGTTTATATATGAGTACGTGTATATGTTTATGTTTGTGAATGCAAACATAAAGATACCATTAGCCTTATTCCAAAAGAATTTAAATTACCTCTTGTCTTGGAATGTAATTCTCAATTATAAGTACTAAATTTAACAACAATAATTCAATATGTCATTTTGAAAGAGCCCAAAAGTCAGCTCTAGAAGTATTCCATTCTTTTACTAATGTAATTGAAGCATTCCTGAGGAACACAAATTAGCAGATTCCACAGTAGCTGGAATTTGTTGAGGGGCTACTTTCTGTCCAGGCTTGTATCAAGAATATCTCTAATTTTATAGCACAATTTATGAAAATCAGTATTGGCTTAAATAATTTTATCTATTAAAATGCATGCTAAGTATTCAATAGCAAATGTTCATATTTAATCTATGTGATACTGAAAATTAATGAATATTAAACATTTGAAATTTCACTTTTATTTGCTTCTCTGGAGGTAAATTTAACTGGCTAGTTACATCTATAGTTAGAATATAAACATCACCAAGGTGAAAAGGCCAAACACACAGTGGACACTGTAAATAGTTGATGAAGTTGATGTATATGTATGATTTAAATATTATATGCTTGTCTGTATTCATACATCATAATAATTACGCCAATCTATCTCTATCTTCCAACACATTTGATTTATTTAGCAATATTATCTAAGAAGTTTGGAGCCAAAATGCTTGTGATCTATAAAATTTATGACCAGGGATTAAATAGATAAATCACCAAGTTAAAACTATCACTAAGCCTCACACTTCAGAGGAAGGTTGCAGCAACCTTTAGTGCTCACTCTCTCTTTTTCTATGTAACTGTAAAAATTCAAATCCCATCTTCTGGATTATATACAACTTTTCAATTTATACTTCAGAGTTCCTAACTTAGATTATAACAATAATTTAAAAAGATCTTTTTTTTTTTTTTTTAAAAAAAAGGTCCCTATTTCTTTAAGTGCCCTTGTTTTTTGGTAATTTTTCAAGAAAATATTTTAGGTTATTATTTAAAATGGATTTCTTCCATCACAATTGTGTAGCTAAACTATGATAATTTTCTAGAAGGTTTTAAATTTAAAAGACTGTATATCTCTAACTACAAAAGTTCTAGAATTTATAAACTAAGTGTGTCTTTCCTTTTTCTACTTTTAATAAAACAATTTAAATCTGGAATTCAAATAAGTTACTACTCTAGTCTCAATTATATTACTAAAATAAATCTTTAAAAAATAATTTAATTATTATTTACTACAAATAAAATCATCTTAAAATTGAATGATCTCTAAATATTTGATGTTACCAATATTGTTATTTATGTTAATATATTATTGTTGTTCTTATTATTATTATTACATGATTTAAAAAAAATTAACATCAACAAAGTAAGCCAACTTGCAAAACACATGTTTTAGGAAATATCATTCAACTTTCTGGTACCCAAATCCCTTTGGTACAAGTGGATGGTACTTTAATTTTGGTTGAGCTATTTTTTGTTCAGGACAACACACAGCAAATATAAAGGCAAGGATTGGCCAAGAATGCCTACACTTGCCCAAGCAAAATTCCTTCCCTAATGACTTCTCTTTATTTATAGCAATGTTGGCCAGATTTGAGGGGAAATTCATAAGGTCTCTACATTAGGATTCACATGGTTCAATGAATGAACAGCTCTGCCAGGTTGATAGCTATGTTAATAACAATAATGTTTTGGTTGATAAGAAGATACATTGCAAGGGCATCTCGAGGTGCAATCTGTCTGCCTTCCTCAAAGAAGGTCAGTGCTCAACAGTGAGGTTTATGAGCATGTGATGGGCTGGAGAATGCCATTTAGCCCTGGTAAATGAGGAGGTCATGCACTATGTAATCTAATCCTTCATGTGTACAACACATAGCCAATTTGGTGTCACATTATATACAAGGTAGGGAGCAGTAGCCATTAGTCATGAAGGACTTTATTTGTATTTCCTTATATTCCCTATTTTCCAGTATTTTTTCTTCCTCTTCTCTGATACCTTTGGTGGGCAAAGGTTCTTAAGTTGTATGTCCTTCCAAGCTCATTCCCTATGTTCTGGAAATATTCTGATCTCTAATATAGGTTAAATCAACTTCTCATTTTTTCAGGATCTTACTAGGGAACTTAACTTACCTAGTGGATTGATTAATTGTTTTAGGTTTTATGTTAACCTGCATTATTTTTACTTATTTTTTTAAAAAGTCCTCAACATAGACTGCAGAGGACTGGAACATATAAAAGATATTAAAGTTAAAACTGTTTTCTGATACTGATGCTTTATGACTCTAAGCAAGTTACTTAACAATCAATCTACAGTTCACCATTTCCACTCACTGTTTTATGTACATCACATATTTTAATTATTAGTGATTATTACTACCCCATGAGAGGGTTCAGTTATCACAACTAATGTTGAATAAACTAAGGTAGTTCAAGAAAGTTGCCCAAAGTTGTACCAGTGGAAAGTATGGATCCACCATTTAAACCAAGGGAGTTTTGACTTCAAAGTTGATATTATAACACCCTTTCTACTCATAAACTTGACTTATTAGTCTATCTACCAAATTGGATAATTTCTGAAGGTGAAATAACCTAATACAGTGCATGACCCTATGCCTAGAATATAGTAGGCTATTTTCATTCAATGTTAGTTCTTTTCCAAACAATGAGTAAGGTGGAACATTGGAAGAGAAGCATACTTGGAGAGGAGGATAAGGATTCCACGTGAGCTGAATACAAGAAAGCACAGTTCTCAGGAGGACTTTAATCTTGAAAACAGAATTATTTTCATTTTTTAGCCTATTGTATTCATTAGATCTAATAATAATATAGCATCTTAATTAGGAACATCTTGGGTAAGACCTAAGAGTATGACCTCCTTGATCAAAACTTCACATGTAAAAATCATAGCTGACAGATTTCACTTAAAAATTATTTGAAATTTCTGCCCTAAAAGTTTTATCACTGCTTGTAGAAACAGATGGAAAGTGCATCATATGATAAGAACTTTACTAAGTACTAAGATTACTCTTAAAAGTTCTAAAAAGAAAATTCATTTCATTTAAAATTATAGTTATGGCTGGCGGTGTAGCTCAGTGGCAGATTACAAGATCTTGGATCTAAATTTAGCACCAAAATAATAAAATAAGTAAAATTATAGATTGCAATTATTTACCTATAAGAACCATTTGCCTTCTTGATTCCTAATATAGGAATGTTCAGAGGTAAGATTTTTAGGAAATAGTTAGACCATGAGGGCTCTACCCTCATCAATGGGTTAAGCCATTGAAGGATTCATAATTTGAGTGAACTATTAGGAAATGATGGAAACTATAGGAAGTAGGACCTCATTGAAGTAAATCTATTCTTGGGAGAATGCTTTTGGAAATTATGTCTTGTCACTGGCCCCTTCCTCTCTCTCCTTCTCTTTTCCTTTCTGTCTGCCTCCCAATGAGAAGCTTTCCTAAGCCACGCCCTTGCACCATATTTCTTCCTCACCTAGGTCTAAACACAATTCAACCATCTGACCATGCACTAAAAACTCTGACACTGTAAGCAAAAATAAATTTTTTTCTTCTTTATTTATCTCAGATATTTTGTCACAGTGATGAAAATTTGACTAACACAGCCACATTTTGTAGTAATATCAATTTTTGAACCTGGTATAGAGCATTCTCATGAAAAGTAAGGGAAAGAGCAAAGAAAATTTTATTAATTTCTTTAATCCTTTCTTCCTTCCTTTCTTCTTTCCTTCCTTCCTTTTCTAAAATATTTTCTAATAGATTGTTGTTCTAGGTAAATAACTGGAAAAAATGGATATAAATTATATGAAATTTGTAATAAAACTTTTAAGATCTACATTGTTTATAATAGATAATGTAGCAATTAATACCCATAGTTTATTAGTCATAAATTTATGATAAAATGTGTACTGTTAAACCAATTTTAATAAGATGGACATATATGTATAAATAAATATATTTATCTGTAAATATTGTGTATGAGATAAACTATGTGATAATTCAGGTATAGTATGGGTAATTGAAGATCAGCTGGTTTGATAGCAATGGCATGGAGTTTCAGAGCTTGAAAACTTTAAGTAATCAACTTCAGCTTTCGTTTGTCTTTAAATTTTTATTTATATGCAGTGCTGAGAATTGAATGCAGTGCTTCAACGACTTTCTACCAATTGTTATTTTTAGAGTCATCTTTTTTTCAGAAATAAGAATAAAAATAATAATTTATTTCTTATTTTATCTTGTTAATTAAAATATATTCCTAATCTCACACTGTGTTCATAAAACCCATCAAGAGAAGCTTAGTTTCAACTAATCAAATCCCTTCATTTTAGCTTTTGAGAAGTTTGTGACTTGCCCAAACATACTTTCACATACACACACAAAAGCTAGACTAGGATTTAAGTGAGCAGCATTTAATGTCACTGATCTTTTGGTGTGTAGGCATGTACGTCTACACATGCACATGTATGTGCTTATTTAAATTATGTTCTTTGGTACTAGGATAGAAATGCTATTTGAGTTCTATCTCTTAATTACTAATCATCAAATCTAGGGCAAAATACTAAAAACCTTTAGAAATAAATGGTCATAATTTTAAATATTTTACATTAAAAACTCATATCGCCTTCCTGAAAAATTCATGCATGTATTTATTATTTATGTGCATGCAACAAGAGAAAGTTTACATTTGATATCAAAGATACACTTATAGAACTGGAAACCAAACTCCTTGGTAAGGAAAGTTTGTTACTCACTTATTGGATGGAATATTGAGCGGACAAGCACAGGGCTTGCAATCTTCAGCAGTTCCTTGAGTAGGATCACCATAGAAACCAGGAAGACATATATTGCAATAGGGGCCACCTGTATGATCCATACAGTTCTGAGGAAGAAGAGCATATCAGAGTTTATATTTTGGTCTCAAACAGCACCATGTTGCTGAAAATAGGTCTATAAAATCATTAGTCTGTTCCCCACCAGGAAGATAAATTTTTCCACATTAAACGGTCAATTTTTTAGCAGGGAAATAACATTGGAAGTTAATATCTAGCTCATCAACTACATACTAGGCTCAACACATACATAATTTAAAAGATAACTGAAATCCTTTATAAATTATTTTCATTATGCAAATTTTATTTCCTCTTTATTTTTTTTCTTAAGAAAATGTATTTGATAGTGTGTGTATGTGTATGTAGTCAGACAGCCCTAATGACATAAGTTTAATGGAAATTGTAGCTGATTCTAAGTAAAAATCAATTGTAGCTTAAAACTGCTGATTTAATGAGAACTGTGGCTAATCATACAAATCCCCCAAGACTGTGCCCTCTTAGTTCAGGCATTAATTTTGAACTTAGCAGACTCTGATGTTTGCACAATGCTTTCTTATATTATATCTGTGAGGAGCTTGTTTGATTCATAATTGAACATTGAGAAAATGGGAAAAAAATCTTAAATATATGATGAAATCACAGAGCACATAAAAATTTTCCTCAGATACTTTCAAAACCAAGTAGAAACTATATCTTTCTACCAATTATTATTTTTAGAGCAATCTCTTTTTCAAAAATCAAAATCAAAATAAATAATTTATTTCTTGATTTTATCATATTAATTAAAATATATTCCTAATCTCAGGCTGTGTTCATAAAACTCATCAAGACTGGTATAAAGGTCCAGCTAATCAAGCAGTAGAACTGTCTCCAATAGCACAATTTGATAAATATTTATTGTATCATGTAGATATAGGTCTTGTTTCCAATGATACAATGATGTTATATAATTCCTTCTAAAGTCATATAGCATGGATTCATTAGTACTGAAGTTTATTTTAAGTCTAATAAGCACATATAATTATATTTTCTCTACATGTTTACAAAGGTTCATAAGAACTCAAGGATGTGCAGCCTTTATTTTTATCACCAACACCCAAATTTATGAAGGAAATAGGAAGAATATAAATTAATCTTGAGCACAGTAAAAGTTTATATGTTTTTATGACTGTTGGAACAGTCAGATAAGGTTAATGAAAATTCCACATTTTATTCATTTCCATAGGTTTCGAAATAAGACCAGTGTCAGTTTTGTTTAGTATATAGATTTAACAAAAACAACCAAATAAATGAAGATATATCTTGAATATTGCTTATTATAGTTTCTTAGGGGATATCAGATTTGTTTATTGAATGAAAAAAATCTAAATCATAATCCATTCATTTAACTCGAACCTCCTATTTACATTCTCTGAAATAAAGAAGTGAAGTTGGGCTGGGGTCATGGCTCAGTGGTAGAGCACTCGCATAGCATGTGTGAGGCAATGGGTTCAATTCTCAGCATTGCATATAAATAAATAAAAATTAAAAGAAAATGGAAGCTAAAGTTCATTACTTAAAGTTTTCAAGCTCTGAATACTCCATGTCGTTGCTATCAACTACAAGTGAAAGGTATTTCTATAGTAACTGGTGATACGCGAAGACAGGTTTTCCTTTGAGCTATTTTAAATTATTTCTCAAATATATTTGACTTTTTAAAAGACAGTGTAACAATTAACTAACTTTGCTATTAACAGTTGTCTAACACAGTATATTAGGATGTTAAGAACAAAACCTAGAACAATTGAAAGAAAACTTTCTTTTGATTGGGCCTTCCTATTGGACCTCCTTTACTTTTTAAGTTTATCTTAACTTAGGTCTTACCAAATAATTGTTTGTTTTTTGAAAAATTCTTTGCATGTTGTCATGTTAACAAAATTAAAAATCTGTCAACATCTTTAGAGTTTAAAAAATTCAATCATAAAATTAATTACAATTTAACTAGATTGAAAATTTAATTGTAAAACTCCACAGAAAATCTTGCATAACTCAGAGACCCTGCTTTTTTTTAACAACTGATTTAATGGAAAAATAACATTTCTTACACTTTGTATTTTTAGGTTTCAGTAAATAAAAATAAAATAATCTTCAAACAAGTATATTTGTAATTAAAACTATAAAATAGCATCACACAACCAATATAATCAACACTGAAAAACATGAAAGTTTCACTATGATAAGCTGGTTGTTTACAAGGGTGATTTGCTATAAAAGTGCCTTTCAAATGTTTGTTCCCATCACATATCATGAGAACAATGAGAAACATACCATCTTCCCCATCTTCCCATGTGGCTTTAAATGTTTCCTGGATCACATCATACTCTGAGTTAAAATGACTTTTTCCATATAGGTTCACATTATAGCAGTTGTCTGAATTTTTATTCTGATGTCAAAAATGTATTTCAGTTAATTTATAATTAGACAAGCTAAACTAAAATAAGTCTATAAGTTTCATAAATTATCTTTTAATGAAAGAAACAATTCCCCATGAATAATAAAAAAGAAGCTGAAATATAAGATCAATTGAACAATAAAATGCAAGAATGCCTTAGCAATGCAATTATTCCAATATTTTTCTCCTTGTGGATCACATAAGCTAAAATTAAGATATTGACACTTAGATTTCAATACCATTTCAGAGAAAGAACACTTGAATGTCTCCAGAATATATCCTACCTGATCATTTACTTGCCAGCTACCTGGGAAAATCCAAGGAACAGGAGATTTTTGTCTCCAAGATTCCTCTATTATTTGAAGGTAGATTTCTATCTTCTTGTCCATTAAACAGCCAATAAAATAGGTTTTTTTATAAGATCTCAGCTATCACTGCTTCCTCCCTGATTTATCTCAAAATTACACTGAAAGAAGCTATTTAATTCTAAAACAAATGTTTCATTCTTCAAAATATCATATCACCAAATTGACCAGCAGCATGATTTCATTTTATTGTGATGAATTCAACTTGGGATATTACCTTAGGGAACATTATGAGTTTGGTATTGTGACATATTTATTTTTGCCTTTTTCTGGTAAGTAAAGCAAATCCACATTAGTTTTGAGCTGTATATTTCCTACTGCATGTTAATAAAGTGTTTAAAGGTAACACAATATTTTTCCCAAGGTACGTTTTAAAAGACTGTGGTATAATTAAAATGAAAATCACTTAGTCTTTCTATTCGTAAAAATGCCATTTGAAAAATCTACTGATCCACAAATTAAGTCTATCATGGTTTATACTGCAATGCAATTAAACAAAATCTTATATAGAGAAAACAGAAAGTACATCAATAAACCTAAATGCCAAATTACATTGAAACAAAAGCCCTGAGTTTTCATTTTGGATTTTTCCCAGAAGCTTTTAAGTAGAAGAGAAAGGGGGGAAAATGAGCAAGAGAAAGAAAACATTAAGAATTACTGATAACAGAGTCTGTCTTACATTCTGCAGGGAAATGAGAGTATGATATCCTCCTAAATTGGCACTGTTTCAAATTGTGTTTCTGCAAGACTAATGAAATGAGAAGTGTTGTTTCAAGCTTCATGCCATGTCAGACAATATAAAACTAACATGCCCTTGAGTTAATCAGAACGGCCTATTCAGAGTAATTCTCCAGTCCTAAGGCTTCTTAGAAGGATAGAAAGTGCTCTGCACTTTGCAGAGCTTATTTTCTTGTTAAAAGTATAGCCTTAATTGTAGAAGGAGAAACGACTCTATATGTATTCCATATATTTATTATTTTTATCTATGCATGACACTTTGCATATAGTTAAATGCTGAAAGTTTCAGATAAATATGCAAATGTCCTCATTTTCAATGTGAAAATAATAAATTATAAAAAACCCTGAATTATGTGTATTATAAAGGTTATATTTTACACTTCTCCTATTATGGGGATATACATAATTTCTTGTTTTAGAACAGTCTATTTTTGGTAGATTTATGGAAGGGAGTGAAATCACATATATTCATGTTAGAATATATATCCTAGTCATTAGTTATGCTCTATAAAGATGTAGCTCTAACTGGATTCTTAGACTAATATAAATAAATACTTCCTAATAGTTACTAGGGAGATTACGTATGCAAGAGTATTTTCAGCTTCTAATTTAGTTCAATATAAATATCATTGTCAAACCACTTCTTTACTCAAGTGTTCAAGGTTCCAAAGGCAGCAACCAAACTGTGGCATTTGTTGAGTCAATTTTAGCTGTGTCAATCAGCATCCCCAGTGGAAAGACAGCACTTACCAGGCATTCTCCTGTAATGTCATCACAGGATTCTGCATGACCAAAGCATTGACATGGTTCACAGATGCCACCAAATATGGTGCCGTTAACTCTTCTGTACCGAGGCCAACAAGACTGAAAGAAAGATAAATTTTGCATCAGTCTTGGTATTAAAAAAAGAAGAAAGATTTTTTTTTTCTGATAATAGAAAATAACTTAGGTAGCAAACTCAGCAAATATGCTGTCAAAGGTAGCCACTATTGAAACATTGCTGTAGCACTATTATTTCTGACATTGGGACTTCGTACTGACCTTACTGTTATTGACAGGTATGAGATTAGAGGAAGCGTTAGCATGGTGTCTCTTCTGAAATGGTAAAATAAAGCACAGATATAAAGAATTGAAATGTGACAGTCTCAAAGTAAAAAGCACAGACAGGAAAATAGAAGGAAAAGTACTGGAAAAAAAAAAAAAAAGCAGCCAACATAAAAGGGCTCAGAGAATCTTAGCCTACGAGGGCACTCAACATCATCCCAAGTAATTTGACTTGGTAATAGCTCCCTTTTCCACACAGTCTCCACCCTCAATCCCTTCACATTCATAAAAATCTTTGAAATCATCTGCAAAACAGACAGCAGTCGCCTCCTACCTTTGACAACATACACATTTGACTTTAATATATTTGTAATTTATATATTTCATTCCAAATGTCCTCCATCCCATAATGGTTTTTCAAATTTACCCAAAGTAGCTTGTGGTTTATTTACCATATATTCCCCTGATAGTTTATTTTATGGTATTATTCTCCTATAATCTGGCTTATATTCATTGTAGATTTCTAATATATGAAACAGTTTATGATATAAAACCAGAATTCCAATTATAACAGGATACTTGGGGTTTATATTTCCTATTTGTCAGTACCTGCTCTAAATCCACTCACTCTTAATTAAATTTTTATTCTCTGGGGATTTCTACAAACTGAAAGGTATCTAAATTCACTGTAAGGTAAGTATTGATGTCTTCTAGAAGCTTATGAGTCCATGTAGCAATCACCTTTTGTGGGTTATAAACTGTATTTCTGGATGGTTAAATACAACACCATATATCACAAAAGGTCTTTTTTTTCCAGTTGAAAATAGAAATGAAAGAAACCACTGAAGTAATAAAGTATATAGAATTGTGTTGTGTATTGTTGGAAATGTTCTTCTGCCTTAGGATATGAGGACTCTTCAATTTGAACATCAATAACAGACACGTGAAAAAAGGATCTGCAGATATTTCATATCTGAAAATAAAATAAAATCAACTTTCCTCTTATTTTGAGCAGTATGAAAGAGAAAGTGTGGACTTTCTGTTCCTTTCCAATAATTTCCCCCTGTTAAAATTTTGGTCTCCATAGATTTATTATGGAAGTGATGTTCTTCTATAATATAAATGTTTATAAACTGGTGAAGCTACCTATCCAGAAGGAGGTAAAGCTTATATCAAGAGAAGAGCGAGAGAACTGATAGGAGGTTTTTAGGGCAGATGTTTATAGAGATTTCCTTAACATATATTTTTAACATTTTAAAATGTAGCACTTGTATAACACCTTCATTTTTCAGATGCCCCAACTCCCTAGACCTTTTTCTTAATCAGTGAATTTACCCCATTAGTCACAGAAAAAAATGAAAGCCATCAGAATCTATCTCTTTCCGATCCTAAGCCAACAAGAATGCACCTTTGTCTTCAGACATTCTTGCCAATTTCCCTCTGCAACAATAGAGGAGGTAATGCAGGATCCTTCCTCCTCTGAAGGAGATCTTACTCCACTTGTGTTCTTGATTCCAGGATCTTTTTGTCTTTTCAATATTCCCTCTCACTGCTCCATCAATAAAATCTTTGTTACTGGACCACTATCATCATCTCAGAAATATGACCCCACTGCCTCCATCATTAGTTAACAGAAAAAAAAAATGGCAAAATCACTCTTTTAACCTTACACAACACTTTCTGTCACCTTTTTTTCTTTTCAGTAAAACTATTCTACACAATCTTTTCTTCCTTGATTGCCTTGCTCGCTTCATCCCATACTCATCTGTTTTGTGCTCACTCAATTAAAACTTCTCTTGTCCCTGCCACCATGTTCCATTTGACCAAACATAGTGCACAACTCTGTAACTGTATTTGGTCTGGGATCTTCTTATCATTCTGCCTGGCTGACTCCATTCTACCTTGAAAGTCTTCTCCCAACCTCTGCAACATCATGCTTCCTGAATTTATCTCCTTTCTCTTTACATTCTTCTCTGCCCTGACCCTACTTCTCATTGTCAGGAGCCCCTCAGGGTCTAGGTGAGGTCATTTTTCTCTTTTTAATCACATTCTCTCCTGGTTAATTTATTTAGTCCCATAGTTTAATGCCTTCCAACCAGGCAGATAGATATGCTAAGTCCAAGACATGCATATTCTAAGGACACATTGACGTCTACACTTCACAGTGCTTCCAAACTAAATATTTCTAAAATGGACTATTGATTCCCTCTTCACTCCAACCCAATTATTCCTCCAGAGTAGCCATTCCCAGCTCAATCAATGTCATCACATCCAGTTGTACAGTTTTTAGCTGGTAACCTATGACTTGTTCGTAAACTATTTCTTCTTCTCCCCCTGGCATTTAGAATACCAGTAAGTCCTATTGGTTCTCAAAACACATATATAATATGTTCTGTATTTGTACATGCCCTGCCAATAAATGAACACAAACTATTGTAATTTCTGTGTTCTATTTGTACTAGTGTATTAACTGCTCTTCTTCCTACCAGTCACGCCATTCTACAGTGTGTTCTTTATGTTATAGTAATAATGATGTGACTATAGTATAAAGTAAAAAAATACAGTCAAAAAAACATAATTCAAGTCATGGCAACATCCTGCTTAAAGACCTCTATTGATTTTGCATGGCACTCAGAATAAAATCTTGATTCTTACCACACGTGAACACCTCTGAATGGCCTGGCTCCCCCATTCACATTTTGGGCCACTCACCCCCTTGCTTACTAAACTGCAGCCAAACTTGCCTTCTTTCAGGTTCCTGCAGACTCCAAACTCTAGACCACTTCCTCATAAGCTCTTTTTACTTCTCATTCTTTAACATGGTTTGATGTCACCACCTCAGAAAGCCTATCATGGCAAACTTTATAAAGTAGTCTCTCCATCTTTGAATACTCTCTCTCTTCCTGTCTGATTTCATATGAAATCAGTCTCCTCTGGACCTTTGTGATGTGATGACATCCTGTTAATTTACCTAGCTTTTCAAAGACCGTATCTGTACTCTTTATCACATTATCCTTCATGTCCTGGGTCTTGACTGCCTGAAATATATGCTTTAGAAAATACTGAAGTAAAGTGAGAGTACAAACACTTGTATACAGAGATTCATATTAAGAGGAAACAGATTTGGCCTTAAAACTTTGTTTTTTTAGTATCCTATTGTGCTCTCATTTCCTCACCTATCAAGTAAAATGGATTATGATGGTACTAGGAAAATAAGAAAATATTTGAAAGTTTAAATGTAGAGCGATTTATAAGATGACAAGTAGAAATGAGAAGAAGAATTTTTTTAAAAAAATAGCTTCTAAATCAACATTGTAGTCCCAAATAAAGTCTCAAATAAATTTTTGGCCAGAGGTTCTTAGTAATCTATAATTAAGTAATGGGATGGTCTTTGTAGTTTACTCTGCTTTCAAGGGATCTCAGGATATTAATGATAACAAACCTAGTGACTGGCCTTCTGAACTAAGCTCAGTGAAAAAAGAAAACAACCTCAAGAAAGGACAGCATTGGGTGATATCAAGTCTAGGGACAGGAAGTTTTGATAAAGAACAGAAAAGATCATTAGAGGGTAAAAGAAACAAAATCAGAGAGGAACTCCAGAGTTCCAAAACTTATTGTCCCTTGATTAAACTAAGTTCATTTATGTGTCTCCAAGTAACTGTATTTATCAATTATTGTGTGACAAGTTCAAGGAAGCTTTATTTTTCTTCTTCTGCTTTTTTTTTGTTCTCTTTTCCACACTTGCATTCTTCTCTCTTCCAATCCATGTGTTACTAATATTTAGCATCTCTCAGATACTTCCCAAGACATTTCTTTCCACTAGAGTAGCTCACCCTTTGAAGGATCCCCTGTTAACTGGTCCCTTAAGGATACAGTGCTATGATCCAATTTTTCATAGGTATTTGTTCTGTCTCCCCAGATTGTTAGTTCTTTAAGAACAGAGATTGTGTTGTATACTCATTGACAATTTATACAGAGAAATTTACATAACTTATCAAATGTGTGCAGAATTTGTCAGAATATTTTCAAAGGGACAAAAGTAACATGAAACATAGCTGATTAAACCACTATAATATTAAGACAATTTTCTATTCTATAGGCATGTGGTCCTTGCATAAAAGATGATGAATTAAAATGAGAATGATGTGGGTATGTATTAAAGCAAGAAGAGAAATAAGGTATTTATTATTATAACTGAAATAGGAATTTAAATTTTCAAAAGGAGTTGAAAATAAAAGCTGAAAGACTTGTTATTAAAAAAAAAGTTTCTTCAAATACAACATAGATTTTATATCTGCAATCCAATAGGGCTGGACATAGATAGTTTAAATCCATGATTTTTTTTTCCTTTCTTCAAAAATTTTGGAAAAACAAGTACTATAATGAATTACCTTTAGTTTTATTTCTAGATAGGTAAATCTGCCCAGTTAAAGAAAACACATTTGTCATGAATACGACTGTAAGGTCTGAGCACTCTCTGGAAGCACGTATTATTTTAAAGTATGAGGGAACTCACAAAGCAGTGCCTATAGTATTTCTATAAATGGTGTAATAGGTTAGTGTTCTGAACTGGAACATCCTGATGCACTCAAATGATTCCTTAAAGGTATCATTTTAAAGAATTTAAGCTCTTATTTATCTTGAAGGCATTCCCTTTGGCAGGGAATTCATGTTTACATTTTTTGACCAGGTTTCAAGTAAAATCAATTTTCAAACTACCTCAGAGAAAATACATAGAAGTAAATAAAATTGCTCTCTTAAAAAGATATATTGTGGTATTAAGTAAGAAACATTAATTTTATTTTAAATCTGGAATTTTGAGACAACAACTAATATCTGAAACTTAGATATTAAACAAATAAAAAAATGGTAAAGAATTTCCTAGAGCAAGGTATTTGTTCCATGAATTATGTTCTTGACATTCTGAAGATTGCATCCTTCAGATGGTTGTGACTTGGATGTATTCTCAGGAAGTAGAGTAAAAGAGGTATATATAGGATTTAAAAATGGGAAAATAAAAAGAAACAAGTACTAAATTCTGGATAACTACTGAAATGAAAATGAAAAAAAAAAAACACTTTGAAATATTATTCTGCTGCCATCCAGCATGCAACTGATTGAACCAGAAAGAAATATTTATGGAAACAACACATTTTTCAGTTATAGTAAGAAGTCTCAAAAGGAACCAATTTCATGATGGCATTATGTGGTTAATACTTTTGGACAAGTCTTGACTTTTTAGTAGAATTTTGTTCCTTCTTTAAGTAATACATAATTATTTGTGCAATTATTAGCAAAGAACTCCTGTATTCAGAATAGTATCTGAAGGAGCTTATATTGCATGGAGAATATATTTTTACAAACTTACTTCACAAGAGGAGCCACTATACCCTGGTGGACACTGACAGATTTCCACAGCAGCTGCAACACTTCCATCAGTAGGATATGGGACAGCAGATTCAAGCTTCACAGAGCTCAACCTGAGAAGTGGGGAAACGGATACTAAGTAAATACACAATCTCTTCGGCATTATGGCATTATATTGGCTAAAGAACATGTATAGCAACTATAATACAAATATGAGAAAATCATCCATTGGAAGAAAGCAAATGAATATCTATAACTTGAAGCTGTCATGCGTTATATAGTTAGCCTTCACTATCCATGGCTCCACATCTGTGTATTCAACTAGCTGTGGATTGAAAATATTTGGGAAAACTGAACCTGTACTGAAAATGTACAGACTTTTGTCATTGTCATCCCTAAACAATATACTAGAAAAACTGCTCATATAGCAACTACATGTAATCAAGTGTTAATTTAAACTGTATAGCAAAATTGCATGGGTCATATGCAGACTCTGCATCAATTGATATGGGGACTAAGCATACAGGGATTTGTGTAGAATCCATCACCTGAGGATACTGAGGAACAGCTCTATTAGGTAAGGCCTACTCAGCTATAAATGATGACAATCATCACAACCATCAAATACTGAAAAGATGTGAGAATGTTCTTCCTTATTTATTGGTTCTTAGCTTTGTGTGTTTTGGGGTGAGGGAAGGGGAGGGGTCCCAGGGATTAGACCCAGTAGTGCTTAACTCAGCTCCTTTTTAAAAAATATTTTATTTAGAGAAAAGTTTTTGCTAAGGTACTTAGGGCCTTGCTAAATTCTTAAGGTTGGCTTTGAACTCACAGTCTTCCTCCCTCAGCCTCCTGAGAGGCTGGGATTATTGCATAGCCACTGTGCCTGGCTGCTATATATTTTCATTTTCTTTCTATGAAGGCTAAAAATAAAACAGTTTAAAATCATATAATTTAAGTGATTTTTAAAATAGAATACATTAATTCCCATGACTGTTTAAAGAAGAAAAACAAGGGACAATATTAATCTTAAATTTTAGTTTTTAAATTGAAAGAAAAAGTGGAATGAATTTTGGTTTCTTTTCTTCAGAGATAAATCCATGTTGTAGTAGGTATAAGTGAAACTTTCTCAAATGTTCAGTAGAGCTAGTTAGCACTATTCTTAAACTATTTTTGGTGTAAATTAAATCACTGTTCTCTGTATGTATGAATTTTATTTTACTGATACTTTTATACCATTTGGTGATGTTAGCCAAGTGACTTGGAATCACTTATTATTTGAGAGAAAAGCTGGTAAAATGATTAAATAAAAAAATACCAATTCTTGATATTATAGTAATTATGAAATACTAGACATGCAATTAACATATTTTCACTGATTTTTGAAACACGGTAAAAATGACTACATAAGTAGTAACGAAAATACTATCTGAACTATTTGTAAACCCAAATCATTTAACAAATTTTAAATAAACTCTAAGAGGGCAAAACTAATGATTACTTAGAGCAATTAGGCAAGAGAAAGAATCAAAGTGCATAAAAAGGAAGAGTGGATGTCTAATTATCCCTGTTCGCAGGTGATATGATATTATGCATAAAAACCCCTCAAGATTCCATCAGAGGCCTATTAGAAATGATAAATTAAGTATATATAGAAAATCAACATAAAAATCAGTATCATTTTTTTATATCATAATGAAATTATTGAGAAAGAAATCTCATTCATAATAGCTTGAAAAATTCCCTAAGAATAAAAATAACTAAGGAAGTTAAAGACCTCTCCAATGAACATTATAAGACATTGATGAGAAAATATTGAATAAGGCATACAAAAAATGTACCTTTGGTGTTCATTGACTACAAGGATTAATATTGTTAAAATGTCCACGCTATCCAAAGCAACTTACAGATTCAACGCAATTTTCATCAAAACACCAATAACATTTTTCATGGAACTAGAAAAAACAAAATCCCCAAATTCATACGAAAACACAAAACACTGTGCATAGCAAAAGCAATTTTAAACAAAAAAGAAGAAAGCTGGAGGCATCACAATACTTGATTCCAAGACATACTACAGAGTCACAGTAACCAAATCATTAGCATAAGAATAGACACAGACCAATGAAAGAACAGAGAGATTCCAGAAGTAAACCCATGCACTAGAGCCAACAGATAGTTGACAAAGGTGCTAAAAATGGACACTGGAGGAAGGAGAGCCTCTGCAAGAAGTGGTGCTGGGAAAACAGGATATCCTTATGCAGGAAAGGACTGAAACTTGAACACTATTTCTCATCATTTACAAAAATTAACTCGAGTAGATCAAAGACCTAAGAATAAGTCCTGAAACTATTAAAATATTAGGAAAAAAAAAAACAGGGGAAACAGTTACAGACAGTGGTATATACAATGGCTTTTTTGGATATTACCACAAATGCACAGGAAACAAAAGCAAAAGTAGATAAATGGGATCACATCAAACTAAAATCGTGCTCACCAAAGGAAACAACTGAGTGAAGAAACAACCTACAGAAATGACATCCTAACAAAAATATATGCTAACTACTCATCTGGTTAATATCTAAAATACATAAGGATCTTATCCCAAAAAACATAATGATGAATAAACAAATAGTCCAATTTAAATGGGGAAGTTATCTAAGCAGATATTTCTCAAAAGAATTAACACAAATGTCCAAAAAGTCTATGAAAAAAAAATGCTCAATATCATTACTCATCAGAGAAATGCAAATTAATACTACAACTAGCTATCATATCACCCTAGTCAGAATGGTTATTATAAGAAAATAAAAAACAAAAAATGCAGGCAAGAATGTAGAGGAAAAAAAGAAGCCCTTATATATCATTCATAGGAATGTAAATGAGTAGAGACATTGTGGGGAACAGTTGGGAAAGTTCCTCAAAAGACTAAAAATAGATCTACCATATGATCCAGCTATTCCATTTCTGGGTATATACAAAAGAAATGAAATAAACATACCAAAGAGATACTGCACCCCCACATTTACTGTGGCATTATTCACATGGTTAAAATATGAAATCAATTTAGGTGCCCATCTATGGGTCAATGGATTTAAAATGTGTGGTATATGTACACAATGGCAGATCATTTAGTCAAAAAAAAAAAAAAAGAATGAAAGCTTTCATCTTTAGTAAAATGGGTAGATTGGAAGGACACTATATTAAGTGACATAAACTGAACACAGAAAGTTAGGTTCTACATATTCTCTCTCATATGTGGAATTTTAAAAATATATAAAAATTGACCTGAATGTAGAATAGTGATTATTAACGGTAAGGGAAGGGGATGTATAAGAGGAGGCTGCATCTCATCATGATATGTTCTATGTTTTGACATATTACACTGAGGACTGGGGCTGTAGCTCAGTGGCAGAGCACCTGCCTCTCACATCTGAGTCACTGGGTTCGATCCTCAGCACCACATAAAAATAAATAAATATATTTTTTAAAAAAGAAATATTACACTGAACCTCATTAATGTAAATAGTTAGTACAGGTTAGACAAAAAAATTAAAAATTAATAATGTAACAGTGAATCCTAACCCCCAACATGACAATATTAACACATGGGGCTTTCGGAAGGAAATTCAGTCCTGAGGTCAGAGCCCACATGGCATTAGTGGCTTTATAAGAAACTCCAATAGCATTTCTTGCCCTATTTCCAGTATGTAAGGATACAATAAAAAAAAGCACAGGCTGCTATATGGAAGAGGGCTCTCAGCAGAGCCTGACTGTGCTGTCACCCTGATCTCAGACTTCCAGAACATTGACAAATAAACTTCTATGTTTACAAGCAAAAAATCAACCAAATGAATAATAAAAAAAAACCCTAAATGACCTGTGTTGATTCACAATAATAAACTTTGTTTTTTAAAATGATGATAGATCTTTATAAGACATAATATGGCACCCTTTAGCCATAAGAAAATTTCAGCTGCTCTTGCTAGGGCATTCTGAATTTCTTACTCAAGAGATTTTTATTAATCAGGGATTTACATGTAAACCAAGAGTTTGCTGGATGTAGGAATGTATGCTGTAGCCAATCCAGAGAGCAAAGCTATAGGGCTCATGACAAGGTTTAAACGTTATTTTCAAAAGTGACAACCTTCAACAACATTGTAAACTTTTCAACAAGTTGCTAAAATCTTTATTGGCTTTACTTCCACTTTACTAATCCTAGACACTGATATTACTTTGGAATTTGTATGAGTTCATTATGATCAAGAAGCAGAAAAGGAGAGGGAACTGAAATCTTAAAAAAAAAAAAAATAGGCAGCTGGATGAAATCTTCTCTGTGCTGAGTGACAGGTGGTGCCTTGTAAAGACCAGGGCATTATCTTTAACGGCAGATGAACTCATCCAGCATTATTTCTTGGATGCTGTCTTTTCTAGGGGCACAGCTTAGACATCCTGATAGAAGGTCCTCGACAGGTAGGCATTAAAAATCGCCATCATACAGTGTTCATGTTACATGGGTCATTTGAAAAATCACTAAATGATCTTCCCCTCACCAAGCAGCTTTGTGCACAATGGCATGCAGTGTCTTAGACATTTCTTCCTCTTTTTATTATCTGAGGTGGAATTCACACAACAAAATGAACTCTTAAAGTGTGCAATTCTGCATCATTTAGTACATTCACAATGCTGTGCAACTACTACCTCTGTCTAGATCGGAAACATTTTCATCAGCCTCAAAGAAAACCTCATGCAAATTAAGTAGCCACTGTCTCTTCCCTTCTTCCTCCAACCTCTGTCAGCTATCAATCTGCTTCTATCACTGTGAATTTACTAATCCTGGATATTTCATATTAACAGTATCAAGCAATATGTGACCCTGGTGTCTGATTATTTTCTCTTAGCCTGTTTTGAAGTCTATTCTAGCATGGTATATACATGCAACAATATATGTCTCAGATGCTTGAGTCATATCCTGTTGCATGTATATACTATATTTTGTTTACCCATTTTTCTGTTGATGGATTTTTGTGTTGTTTCCTCCTTTTGGCTGCTATGAACAGATTATTAATATATTAATTGTTTATCAAGCAATAGATTGTCACAGTGCACTAATTAG